GCTGAGCAGGGAGCCCGATGCGGGACTCGATCCCGGGACTCCAGGATCATGACCTGAGCCGAAGGCAGTTGCTTAACCAACTGGGCCACCCAGGCGCCCTTGAGATTTTATTTTTAAGTAATCTCTACACCCAGTGTGGGGCTTGAACTTTTACAACCCTGAGATTAAGAGTCGCACGCTCCACCAACTGAGCCAGCCAGGTGCCCCAAATCTTGTAGATTTTTAAATATTGATAAGTATAAACAATCCATCAACAAACCGGCCTTGCATTTTGAGCTGATTCACGTAAGGGCTTAAGAACGTGGCGCAAGATGAAAAACTTTGACATAGTCTCTGTGTTGCGGGTAATTTGGCTTCTTGGAGGAGGAGCAAAATCTCACTGTCTGAATTTTCCTGCCAAGTGTAAAATATCTGCTGGCACTTAGGGGGACTTTATTAAGTGTGTCATCTCTGGGTATGGCCACATTTTACTGTCTGTTTTGGTTATGGATGTTTGCAGGACATAGATAGCCTTATTCAGGGTTCACGTCCGAAGTAGCTGATGGTGTGTTGTTCTTGTCGATCTTAATAGAAGAGCACAGAACCTGTTATTTGCATATATTTTGAAAACTAAACAAATAACAAAAGAAACCCCCCCCCATGATTATTGATAACCAGGCAGAACTAGAAGCTGAACCAGCTTAGTACTCCCCAAGGTCATTCTTTGTGGAAACCACTAGAACTGTATTGTCTGAAAAGTTGTCTCCATTTTGAAAGTACTTTTGTTACTATTAATGCTTTGTTTTCCACAGTAATGATGGGTTTGTGTCTCCGTGTGTGTGTGCATCTCTTCTTTTCTTTTATAGACAGATGCATTCCAGAAGCCTGTTCCATTGGAACAGCATCCTGACTATGCGGAATACATCTTCCATCCTATGGACCTTTGTACATTGGAAAAGGTTGGCCTCCATCAAAGAACCTCACCATTGTAGCCACAATTCCTGGAGGGACTAAAGACCCTCCCTCACTTCCTGTGCCCCATCTCAAGTTAGATGATTACTCTGCCTTTCCTCTGTACCATTTTTATTTGGATGGAGGAACTCTTGATCCCTTCACTTCTGTAACATTCTTCCAAGGATTGTAATGGAGTGTTGAATTCCACTGATTAGCTCCAAATATTACTTTTGCTGGTGATTGTCTGAAAATTGAGCTGAAAAAGTCACACTTCTATGAATCAGTGATTTGATTGATTTGAGCCTTACCTCCTCTTCTCTTTCTGTCAGAGGTGCTAATGAGGGCAGCAGGAAGGAGAAAAGAGAAAATTAAGTGTTTGGGAAACCGTCAGATTGCTGATAAAGATGTGGCTTCCTAGAAGTAATTCTACTGTTACGGATATGTCCTTAATGCCTGAAGGTGCTTTGAAAAGTTCAGGCTAAAATTCCATCCTGAAAATTACACTTGGAACGCTTTAGATTGTGTATATCACCCTGGTGCTAATTTTCAAATTTTTGGCATGAAATATGGGGAATGAAAAGCATGGATGAGGAGAAAACCTTATATTGTCTTGCTGACCCCCAAATGCTCAATCGAACCTGCTTTGAAAAATTACACACACCCTCATGGTTTTCAAGAAAAGAAGGCATTCAAAAAAGACAGAGTTGGAATCCTAGCTTCACAAATTAATAGTGTTGGAACTTTGCAGAAGTTCCTTAACAATCCCAGACCTCAGTATTCTTGTCTGTAAAGTGGTGATGATAGTAAGTGTGTCATTGCATTCTTAGTCACAAGGCTTATGTGAGGCTGTTACAATGAATAAAAGCCACGTCAGTATATAAAATATCCTGGTTTCTTGGAAGGGGCTGCTTGATAAATGACAGCTGGTATAAGAGAAAACAGTTCAAGTTACTGTGATGAATTCAGCGACTTCATTTTTATGGAGCTCTAGATCTCAAATATAATAGCATCTTGGGAAATGGGTAAAAGCATTAATTAATTTGGCAAATGACTGCTAAGAAAAATGGTGTGGGGACGCAGGTGTTAATTGGCTGCGGCTTGTACAGACTCACGGGTTATTATGCTCCTTGGCTTTTCTCCCCAGAATGCTAAAAAGAAAATGTATGGATGCACAGAAGCTTTCCTGGCCGATGCAAAGTGGATTTTGCACAACTGCATCATTTATAATGGAGGTGGGTGGTTTAGGTGGCTCCTAAAAAAAGAGTGTTTATGCTGTGTGTTTTGCTCAATCTCCCACCCTTCCTAAAGAATCATGCTCTTTTTTTTCCTGCGCCAGGGCCAAAAACTGAGAATATTTGTATATAGATTGCTAATATGTGTGAATAGGGGACAGTGACTCTGTGCTTTAAGGGAATGAGCTGGTATCCATAGTGGCTCATGGCTATATGATGCTGCTTACCTCTCCTTTTTAGAAACTTTATGGAGGAATAATTACATAGAAAAAATGCATAGATTTTGTGAATATAGACTCTGAATTTGACAAATGTGTAACCCACCTCAAAGGTATAACTACAACCTTAGATTAAATCTAGAGTATTTCTATCACTCTATTATATTCCCACTTGTCCCTTACCAGTAAATCCACCCTCCTTGGTTTTTTCTGCCCCTATAGATTAGTTTTACATATTCTAGAATTTCATACAAATGGAGTCATAGTGCATTCTTTTGTGTCTGGCTGATTGCATGCAGTGTAATTTTTTTGGGGATTCATGCATGTTGTTGTATGTATCAGTCGCTTTGTTCCTTTTTATTACCATGAGTGGTTTTTCACTGTATCAGCATACAATTTATTTATCTATTCCCTTTGTGGATTTTGAAGGATCTTTGGGTTATTTTCAGCTTTTGGCTGTTAGGAATAAAGCCACTGTGAACATTCTTGTGGAAGTCTTTGTGTGGACATATATTTTCATTTCTCATGGGTAAATACTTAGGAGTGGTAGTGCTGGGTCATTGACTAGGTTTCTAGTTATTTATTTATTAAAGATTTTATTTATTTATTTGGCAGAGAGAGAGACACAGCGAGAGAGGGAACACAAGCAGGGGGAGCGGGAGAGGGAGAGGCAGGCTTCCCGCGGAGCAGGGAGCCCGATGCGGGGCTCGATCCCAGGACCCTGGGACCATGACCTGAGCGGAAGGCAGACGCTTAACGACTGAGCCACCCAGGCACCCCGACTAGGTTTCTATTTAAATTTACAAGACAGGGGCACCTGGGTGGCTCAGTCGTTAAGCGTCTGCCTTCGGCTCAGGTGGTGATCCCAGGGTCCTGGGATCGAGCCCCGCATTGGGCTCCCTGCTCCGCGGGAAGCCTGCCTCTCCCTCTCCCGCTCCCCCTGCTTGTGTTCCCTCTCTCGCTGTGTCTCTCTCTCTGCCAAATAAATAAATAAAATCTTTTAAAAAAAAAATTTACAAGACATTTTGGCAAACTTTCTGCAAAGTGGTTGTATCATTTTATACTCTTGTAGCCATGCATAGGAGAGTCTTAGTTGCTCTACATCCTTGTCAACACTTGGTGTTGTTGGTCTTTTTAATTTTAGCCATTCTTGGAAGTGTGAACTGTTATGTCACGGTGGTGTTCATTTGCCTTTTCCTTAGAATTAAAGGTATTGTGTATTTTTTCGTGTGTTTGTTAATCATTGGTGTATCTTTTTTTGGTAAAATATGTATTCAGATCTTTTGCTCATTTCAAGAACTGGGTGGTTTGTGTTTTTATTACTGCATTTTAGGAGTTCTTTGTATTCTGGATAAAGTTGTGTCAGTTGCGTTTTTGTGGATTGAGCCTTCTGGACAGAATGGAAGAGGATTCCTATTAAAATCTCCTCTCATGGCACCTTTCGTATTGCCCTACCTTCTCCCACAGTCCTCTCTGTCTGCCTTCTGGCCAGGTAGCTCTTCCAGTGTCCTGCTCCATTCTGTTCCTCTTGTTCCCTGCTAGAACACTCTGCCTTCATGACTTTTTCTTATCCTTCAGTGTCAGCCTATTAGTCCTCCGAGGAGCCTTCCCTTATGGACCCAGACCATACCACATGCTCCCGTTAGGAGATCTCATAGTACCTGTACTTGCCCATGGTAGCGTTTATCACACTTCCTGGATGGTGCTAATTTTATTTGTTTGAGGATGTTAAGATATTTTTTTTTTCCCCCTTTTTTGGGTGTAAGATCTTGAAGAGCAGACACCCTGTCTTCTTCCTGTATGGTCCTAGGGTAGATTGTTAGCTAATGTATAAGGGAAGACGTATGAGGGGGTAGCTGTCTGCTCAAAGCACACGTTCTGCATTATTAGCTCAGTAGCGGGGCCGGTGGTATGGGGAGGGGAGAGAGAGGCACTCGGTTGAAAATTCATATAAAGATTATTAACTCAAATATATAGAAAGGCTGGTAAGATCACATAAGCAAGTGGATGAGATTAGATGGCAGAAAAATAGCAGCGCAAGCCAGCATGGCCATTGGCCAAGGGGAGAACTAGAGCCTGATAAACTGGGGGGATGAACTCCTACCTGGTCTGAAGGGGTCACCACTGGACACCCCAGTCGTTTTTGGAAACAGAGTTAACAGATTTTTTGAGTTTTCAAGGCAAGCCAGAAATCTAGGAAGGGGTGTGTGTGTGTGTGTGTGTATGTAAAATCTTTTTGCCAAGAAATTGACAATGTCTGGAAATACCATAATGTCTGAAGAAAGCATGGCTTTTCAGCCATCTTGTCTTCTGGTTTAGTGTGCAGGTGAGGGATTTAGAGTTAGATCTGGGGCCAGATTTTCAATTCATTAGCTAAGTAGTCTCATGTAAGCAATCACTAATGAAAGGGGAGCATTCATACCTGCTTCCTAGTACAGCTTCTTGAGGAGTTAAGAAAATGTATTTCGAAGCACCAGGCACAGCAGAGCTACTTATTTTCTTTCCCCTGTTACTTTACATGTGGAGTCTGGAACAATGGGTGAATGAGGCTCCTTTCCACTAATTAGAGCCTTTCGAACGTGAAAGCATCTTCCCGATATTAACCTGTGAGCTGTAGGAATCCCACACAAATTACTCAGTTTCAGAGATGACATCGAGGCACCAAAGATTGCTCAGTGTTTAGGGGAGAAGTCACATAATTTGAACCAATATCAGGAGCCAGCATCTTCTGGTTTTTAGCCTTTGAAGCTTAATCCTGGGGGGAAGCAAGTTGAAAGGTCATTAGTGGAAGTATAACCTCATGGTTGGGTGTTAATAATTGTGTTTCCATTTGAATTAATCATACTTTTTTATTCCTTTAGGAAATCACAAATTGACGCAGATAGCAAAAGTAGTCATCAAAATCTGTGAGCATGAGGTATGTGTTTCTCACTGTCCGATTTTGAATGCACCCAGAGTGAGGGGCTGGGGTGGCTGGTTTCTATCTGCAGAATCTCTCATTGGGTAGCTATGGCAGTTTTGGGATTTATCTATTTATTTTTTAAAAAGGTTTTATTTATTTGAGAGAGAGAGAGAGAAAGCACAAGCAGGGGCAGGGGCAGGCAGAGGCAGAGGGAGAAGCAGGCTCCCTGCTGAGCAGGGAGCCCAATGCAGGACTTGATCCTAGGACCCTGGAATCATGACCTGAGCGGAAGGCAGACACTCAACTGACTGAGCCACCCAGGCATCCCAGTTTGGGGATTTATTGAGGCACATACAGTGCCCCCCTGTCTTCAAAGAAAAGTAAAAGCGACAAAGAGTGGACCCCAGTATGTTATAAACCACCCTTATCTTACCCATGATCTAAGGGAGGTGGAGATGACCTTGTATTATTCAGTTTTGAGTCATGGTCAAGCACAAGCATTGGGCATCCTGAGTTTTCTTAGTTGCATAGATAGGGCTCATGATTTGTTCACCCTACAATCTGTGGCATTGGGCCAGGCCCCTTTTACTCTTCTTAGGGAAGATGTTTGGGTTTTGATGTTATGTCTTGGAAGGGTCCTGATTGTTTTTCAGGGAGTGGCCTGGAGAGCCCTGGAGAGTCATTCCCTCTTGGAAATACAGTTTTGATGATGTGAAAGAAAGGCCCTGAGGCCCTAGTGGTTGTGGGGTAGGCTGGGAGCAGAAACAGTACCAGGGAGGCTTTATTAGACCCCCATCATAGGAGCGAAAAACCTAGATGTAATGGACTTAAACATGTCTGTGTACTTCATTCATTCATCCATTCATTTGTAAGGAAAACACTTGGATATCTCAGGGTATGTCCGTTTCTACCTATTTTTGTAGTGAGTTTTATAATTTATACTTTTCACTTAGTTTGAGTGTTTCCCCACTGTAATTCAACACACAGGAACAACAGAATTTTTCATGGCTGTTGTGATGATTTTCTTAGTATAAATGTTAGAAATGTTAACCCTTAGACATGATAGGTACCTTTCTAACATTTATGCTAAGGCTCTAGGTAGATATTTCCTCATTGGCTTCTGGAAAAGCTGTAGCATCTTAAACAACAGCCTGGGATGGGTGAGTATGGTAGTTTTTCTGTGTCCTTCTCAATATTGGAAGTTCTTGCAGTGCAATCAGTAAAACCGGGCATGTCACCGTGAGTTTGGTTTGCACTTCTTTGAAGACAAGTGGTGTTGGACTGTTTTGTTTTTTTTTTTAAAATATTTTATTTATTTAATAGAGTGAGAGAGAGAGCACAAGCTCTCGGGGGAGCGGCACGGAAAGGGAGAAGCAGACTCCCCACCGAGCAGGCAGCCTGATGTGGGGCTCGATTCCAGGACCCTGGGATCACAACCTGAGCCAAAGGCTGACGCTTAACCGGCTGAGCCACTCAGGCGCCCGATGGACTGTTTTTGATATGTTTATTATTGATTTGGAGTTTTGTATGAATGAGTTGTCCAGTTGTTTCCCCCTTGGGGATTCATTTGTTTTCCTATATTTGGGAGCTAAAGCCTAGGCTTTTAATCATTGGTGGGTTGCCCCGAGGTGGAATTTATTGAACCCAGATGCTTTGTGTCTGCCATTTCTGAATCTACCTGTTGGCAACACATTGCCCCTGTTCGGGCTCCAAGGCAGGGCTCTCCTGGACCTGATGTTACCACCTTCTTTACCCAGTACCTTTGGAATACCGTACAAGTAGAGTGAGTGAAGGAGGAACTATATGCCATCATTCATTCATGCATGTATTCTTTTGTTCCTTTATTCACTCACCTTTAAGTTAGTCAATTATAGTTACAACGTTATTAGTTATAATGTTATAACTGCCTGGGTTCAAATCCTGGCCCTGTCACTTTCCATCTGTGAGACTTTGGGCAGGTGTCCTGACTTTCTGGGGCTTCATTTTCTCCATCTGTCACATGGGGGTAACAGCAGTCCTGCCTTCGAAGGGAGTGTGAGGAATAAATGGATCGGTACCTGTAGATCACTTCAGTGATCCCAGCAGAGATCTCTGATCAGTGTTAACGAACGTATTGATTACTGTGTCACTTGAAGTGCTTTACATTCATCTCCTATAATTGTTAAAATCCGTTCAGTAGGTGTTGCTCGCATCCCCATTCTGTACATGAGGAAATGGGAAGGAAATGGAGCCTCAGACAAGATAAGCAACCGTTCCTAGAGTTACAGAGCTAGGAAATGGGCTTCTGGGGTCCTTGATTCTAGGTCAGACTTAGATTTTCTAGGGGAATGTACTTTTTCAAGAGGGAGAAGGACGGTCTGCAGACTACACAATTCCAGATTGTCGTCGGTGGAGAGAAAATAAGGCAACAGGGTATTGAGCACCTGCTGCCCTGGATGGTGTGATTAGAGATGTGTGGGAATTGAGCACAGTGAGCAGAGGCCGAGCGGTTCTGGAGGTGGTTGGGGAGCTCAGGAGGCCCAAGGCCTGGACACACTTGGCATTGACGGAGCTCCTCAGGAGTTTAGATTTCCTTATTAGTTTCTCAGCTTTGTACTACTGACATTTTGGCTGGGGAATTCTTTGTCTCGGGGACTGTCCTGCACCTCATAGATTCCGGTTGCAACCCACGGTCAGGTAAACGTTGGCACATGAAATGGCCCTGCTGCTGTGTCTTGGGGGATGGACCACAGTGGGCACAAGAGTAGAAGCTGATCCGGACGTGGTCCAGAGAGAGAGGAGGTGGTGGTGGTGCTGGCTTGGGTTAGGTGAAGCAAGGGGGTTGGTGGGGGGTAGTTGGACTCTTCCTGAGGGTGTTCCCCACTGTCGGACCTGGTTTAGCTAACCTTAACTGCTCACACCATCATGCATTCCTTGAGGGCCTCCAGATGTGAGGCCCCTGGGATGACACATCCTAACATGTTTTTGCTTTACAGATGAATGAAATTGAAGTATGTCCAGAGTGTTACCTAGCTGCTTGCCAAAAACGAGATAACTGGTTTTGTGAGCCTTGTGTAAGTTGCATTTCTTTTCCTTACTTCATTTTCTTTCTTTTTTTTTTTTTAAAGATTTTATTTATTTATATGAGAGAGAGCACAAGGGGGGGGAGGGGTCAGAGGGAGAAGCAGACTCCCTGCTGAGCAGGGAGCCCGATGTGGGACTTGATCCCGGGACTCCGGGATCATGACCTGAGCCGAAGGCAGTTGCTTAACCAACTGAGCCACCCAGGTGCCCTTCCTTACTTCATTTTCTGAGCCCCGTGCCTTAGGTGGCTACCCAAGGCTACTTTGTCTAGGTGGTTTATTCGGTGAAACTTTGGGTGAAGTTTTTTTTTTTTTTTTTTTAAAGATTTTATTTATTTATTTGACAGAGACAGCGAGAGCAGGAACACAAGCAGCGGGAGTGGGAGAGGGAGAAGCAGGCTTCCCGTGGAGCAGGGAGCCCAATGCTGGGCTCGATCCCAGGACCCTGGGATCATGACCTGAGCCTAAGGCAGACGCTTAACGACTGAGCCACCCAGGCTGCCCCACTGGGTGAAGTTTTTAAATGATTTTTGTAGTGATAAAGTTATGGCAGAATGTAGGTGATCCAGAGAGAATAAACCTCTGGGGCTGAAAATTCATGTGCCAAAGGGAGCATTGTGATTTCCTGGGTTTATTAACCCAGGGCCGGCTGCAGGGTAGAGAGCAAGAAGGAGCTCATCAGGGAGGGGGGCGCCCCTTGGTAATGCAGATAGCGGGAAGAGAGTTCAGTGAGTGTGTTCTTTTGGATCTGTGTTGAGAGGTTTGGAAATACCTCTCTGGATTGCCTCAATGGTCTCTCCAACTTGGTGGTTTGGGGTAGGGGTTGGAGAGAGAAAAATCACCCTATTTTCCTCATGGATCTGCATTTTCCAAACTGGTGTTCTGCAGAGAAGTGTGTTCTTGGGGTGGGCTGGTGGGAGGGTGGGAGGAAGTAGGGGTGGAGCTTACTGGGAGGCAAGATGGGGGCCAGTAAAGTGGAAAAGTAGAACATAGTTTATGTCTCTTCTGCCTTTGGAAATAAATACCTGCATAATTAAGGCTCTGGGCAGCCTCAATAAAGGACAGAGGTGGCTAATTCTACCCCTTGTTACCTGTCAGTTAGAATGCACATTTAATTCCCCAACTCAAAGGAGGGTGTAGGCATTGCTGTCTCCATGGTGCAGGGGAAGGTGGACGCTCTTGCTCACGGCCACCTGGGTAATAGCATTAGAGCCAGGGTCCGTGCCTGGTCTTGTCGGTGCTCCGTCCTTCTGTTTTGTGTTTCATCTCCAGAACCAGCTTTGCCTGGGGCTTACTGGCCTCACGCCCTCCTAGGCGAGCCCACTTGGGAGACCCTGCCTGGAACTGTTCTCATTCAGTTGGTGGCCTTGTTGTATTGTCACACACCAAGCTTTAAATGTGTGTCTTGCTGTCAAATACATACAAACTCTGGATTTTATTTTTCTTTTCCTAGAGCAATCCACATCCTTTGGTCTGGGCAAAACTGAAGGGGTTTCCATTCTGGCCTGCAAAAGCTCTGCGGGATAAAGATGGGCAGGTTGATGCTCGTTTCTTTGGACAACATGACAGGTGGGAGATCAAACCGGCTGCAAACGTATAGCGTTAACTGAACCTTTGATACTATCATGGGTGCAAGCAGAGGCAGAGGTATTATTGTGTTGTTTATTGTCATGACACCAACCAGTGATCTTGTGGTTAAAAATACAGTCCTGGGCTGTGTTAAGCCTGATAATGTGTGGGCTTCAGTGTTTTCAGGTATGTTTAAGAGAAGAATCTTGCTTTCGTAGTTTTGTTGATGAAACTGGCACCATGGCTATTTTAAGTGCTGCTTGTTCTTTTTTGGATTTTCTAGAGCAAATTAAACTGCCGTGCAAATTGCTTTTCAAAATAATGCTTTCAGAGATCAGAAGTATTTCCCCAGATTGCCAGTAAATGAATCTCTTATCATTGTGCTGGGTGGTTCCCTCCTGTTGCCTTTTCTCTGAAGCTAAAATAGGAAATTATAAGAGGTGGCTGTTTTAACAGGTGGGAGCCCTCCCCGCCAGCCTTTCTACCCTCCCCTTTTCCTTGCTCACAGGGAAGTGAATTGTTCCAGCTCTTAGCAGTTCCTGCTCCTCCATGCTTGAGAACAACAGGTAGACCCAGATGAGCCATGGTTAATATCTCAGTTCTCTTTTAGCAAGCTGTGTTGTGATTAAACGAGGCAAAAACCTTTCGAAGCCCTACCAAGTAGTTTGAAAAAGTGTTTGTGTTGGGGAGAATACTTAAAACACGTACCCTAAAAATTATATACAGCCACAGAATATACAGAAAATACAGTGTATAATTTCAAACACTGGAATCCGAACTGTTACTCTGTTTAGTTTTGCTTGTCTTGCAAATAAAAAAAAACTGAAGAGTGAATTTTGCTAGAAATCTGTTGTCTGGAGGCAAAATGGGAATTTGCTGAGAGGGTCCTGGGTTTGTTTGTTTGTTTGTTTTAAAGAGTTTATTTATTCATTTGAGACTCAGAGATACAGAGAGAGTGTGTGCATGAGCAGGGGGAGAGGCAGAGGGAGAGGGAGAAGCAGGCTTCCCACTGAGCCAGGAGCCTGATGTGGGGCTTGATCCCAGGACCCTGGGACCATGACCCAAGCTGAAGGCAGACACTTAACCATCTGAGCCACCCAGGCGCCCGGGTTTGATAGGAAGTATTTTGCTTTGTTTGATTTTGACCACTTTGCTGGAAATCTTTTGGTGCCTGTTGTGGGCCAGGTCATGTGCTGGTTGTTGGGCATTTGGGAGTGAGCAGGCAGACACTGTCCCCAACCATCTGAAGGCTGACATCCTAGTGGGGAAGACAGATAATAATACACAAGTAAACATACAGGCGAGATGATCTCAGATCAGGAGGTAATGGCCGAGACTGAGTGAAGATCTGGGTGGAGGGACAGACAGAGCCAGCCTGCTGTGCTTGAGAAAAGCAGGAGCATGGGGTGATTTGAACAGGGGGAGGGGGGAGAGGCTGTTAAGAGATGGGTGGGGGGGAGGGGGCAGGGCCCCGATCACACAGAGTCTGCCTTTTCTTTGAAGAGCAAGAGGAATTAGTATCAGGTTGTGCATCTTCCTGCTACTTCATTATAGCAGGGCAAGTGTTAGCCATCTTGATGATTTGGGATTATTCTCGTTCTGTAATATGACCCAGTGTGGATATATTTAGGACATAGGTGGGTGGGGGAAATCAGTGCTTGCCCCCATGCACCAAATATTCTCAGACTCTTAGCATCTTTGATTCTGCTCTCAGCTTAGCCCATTCTGCATGGACGTTCTCCTGTGTGTCAGACAGCTACTGAAGATGGCTTAGGGGACATGAGCTCTGCTAGCCCTAGTCCGAGGCCATTTCCCCCGGAACTTGCTGGTGTAGGTTGGTTCTAGGTAGGAGCTGTCGTGGATGCCGCCCCTCCCCCCCCACATTTGTGACAAAGATGGCAGCCCAAGTCTGATGCCCGTGAGGTTTGCCTAACCCTCTCGGTGTCTTCTGCTCCCTTGGAGGGGACGTGCCGAACTGTTGGCTCATTTTGGGTGAGGGGAGCCCCTTGGAGTGGTTAAGGACACTGCATGGCGGTGGGGAGTAGGTGGTGGAGTCGCAGAACCTTGGGAGTTCTCGGGATGAGGCCACTGAAGTCCCTTCCTCCCAGGAGATGTTCTTCAAGCAGAGCTGGTCAGACCCAGCAGCACAACGTGTAGGCTAAAGAGATGGGCTAGGTTGTCCCTTTCTCACGGAGCAACTTTGGGGTTGTGGAGCAAACCATAAGCCTGGACACATGTAAGCCACATTGGTTAGGAGAGAAGAATAAGAAATGGCGCAGCCTGTTATGTGTTCATCGTCTGGTTAATAAAGACTAGAGCGAGCCCCGGGAGGTGCTCCTACAGATCAAATCATGTTCTGAAGAGTCTTGCTGTGAGCTTTTTATCCTTTAAAAATTTTTGCCTTTTGGGAGTTTGGTATCATAGACACACACGATACTGTATAAAAATCCGGGAAATATTTTATCAAATGCCTGCAGAGCCGCAGAAGAGCGAGCTGGCGTGAATGGAGTGCCTTCTATGCGGCAGGCATTGTTCTAAGCGCTTTTTGCAGAAGCTGCTTTATTCTCATTTTACGGAGAAGAAAACTTGAGGCCCAGCGTAGGGAGTAGCTCAGCTGTGTGACTCTGGGGCCTCTCATAACATTGCCCCCAGAGGTTTTATTTTTGTTAAGCAAATCTGAGTTCCCTTTAACTCTGTCCTGGGCCTGCTCTAAGGAAAGGGAACACTTTCCTGAAATCAGTGGCAGACACCTTCATGGAAGGCAGTTGAGACCCTGGCAGGAAACAGTTAAGGCCCTGACCCCAGGCAGAGGTGTGGGGGGAACACAGTCACAGTGGCTGGCTGCGTGCTGGGCTCCCGGTGCTCTGGGGACTGGCCACCTGGCCGAGGTGCATTTCATTTGTTCCCTGTGACCCCGCTCCAGGGAGGGGCTCATCCTCCACCTTATCAAGATGACAGAGCCGAGCCCGGCTCGGGGAAGGGGAGTCGTTTGTCCGGGGGCAGCTGGGGGATCCTGGCTTCTCCTCCGAGCTGTCCTGTCTAGTCCAGACTCCTGCTCACCCAGTTGTAACAGCCACAGTCTCTCACCCACGGGGCATCTGGCTCCTGCTCTGCCTCGTTCTGTTTGGCTGCAGATGTGGTTCCTCAGGTCTCTGTGGGATGACAGCAGTGAGTTGGGGTAGATGAGAAACTGGTAATTTCCAGCACGCTGAGAGAGCAGTTAAGATATTTTTGGGGTGTTCGGTTTTAGTGTTGTCACGATCTATTTATCACCGGGAGTGGCAAACCTCCCCAGTCTGTGCCCTGAATTCTACCCCATGCACATACTTGATTTTTCCTGGGCTGCTTTCTCTTCAAAATAGGAACGAGACGTTAACACTTGTGTAGAATGCAATATAAGCAGTCCATATTTTTTGCTTCTCTTTAAAATGCTGGGAGACTCCGCAGTGGTGGGGCGGGGGTGTCCAGATTCCTGCGCGGGCATGTGTGAGGTTCCCCAGTAGACAGTACTTGCGTTGGACTGTTCTATCTCCCCACCATCCACTTTGCTCCCCATTGCTTTGTGTCTGGCATTGAGTTTACGGTCTGTGAAATCCTAAAGGCCTCCCTGGAAAAAGCTCATTCTCACCAGATTCCCAGCTACAAACGGGCTCGGGTTTGAGGCTGGGGAATCAAACGTCACACAGTCTACCCTCCAGTTCTTGCTTGGGCTCAGTCCCCGCCCAGAGCAGTGGTAGGTTATACTGCCATCTCCTGCCTGCAGTCACTCGGCCACTGATTCCAGAAAAGCAGCTCTTGCTCTCGTGAAGGCTCTGCAGAGCACTGGGTTGTGGGGGGTTGAAGGCAGGAAGACAAAACCAGTCGGGAATGGAAGGTGGAGGCTGTTCCTTGCTTATTTTCCACGTGAATTATCTCCTATTTGAAGCCATGCATCTCCTCTCAGGGTTATGGTTTTCTAGTGTTTCCTTCTAGTGCCATGTAGAACCCCAGTTTTACAAGAATAGGAAAGCTCTTTACATCTGAGTGCAGAGCAGTGGACTTTGGGACTGATTCTCTTGCAGCCCTGGATGCAGGGACTGTTTTTTGTTTTTGTTTTTTAAATATTTATTTATGAGAGAGGGGGAGAGAACGTGTGGTGGGGAGGGGTAGAGGGAGAGGGAGCGGAAGAGAGAATCCAAGCAGATTCTTCGCTGAGCATGGAGCCCATCGTGGGACTCAGTCTCCATGACTTTGAGATCATGACCTGAGCCAAAACCAAGAGTCAGGTGCTCAGTGGACTGTGCCACTTAAGCGCCCCAAAACGTTTATTCTTTTTTTTTTTTTTTTTTTTGAGAGAGCATACATGGATGGGCATGGGGGCCAGGGAGGGGCAGAGCGAGAGAGAGGGAGGGAGAGAGAGAATCTTACGCTGTCTCCACTCCCAGTGCGGAGCCTGACTCAGGGCTTGATCTCACGACCCTGAGATCATGACCTGAACCAAAACCAAGAGTCGGACGCTTAACCAACTGAGCCTCCTAGGTACCCATAGTGACTGTTTTCTTACTCTCTACTCACCCAAAGCCAAAAGGGGATTTACTATTTTTTTAATGGATTAAAATGACTACAGTTAGGAGCCTTTTAATGTTTTCACTAAGTTTGCTGTTGGTGTTCTGTTCTTATGACAGAACATGTCTGGGTTAATGGTTAAATCATGTATTAACCATGCAAACCAAGTAATTTTTAAAGAATAGATACGTATTTAAGAATCTTGGCCAAAAAAACCCACAAAAAACAATCTTGGCAAACATACAAGGCTAATGTGGTTTGCATTAAGGAAAAAACAGTTCTGGAAACAGCCTAAATGTCCACTGACAGATGAACAGATAAAGAAGTTGTGGTATGTACATATCAGGTGTTCCTATTCAGCCTTAAAAAAAAAAAAGGTAGTAGGAAGGGAAAAATGAAGGGGGGCAATTTGGACGGGGAGACGAACCATGAGAGACTATGGACTCTGAGAAACAAACTGATGGTTTTAGAAGGGAGGGGCTTGGGGGGGATGGGTTAGCCCGGTGATGGGTATTAAGGAAGGCACGTGTTGAATGGAGCACTGGGTGTTATACGCAAACAATGAATCATGAAACACTACATCAGAAACTAATGATGTAACGAATGGTGACTAACATAACCTTAAAAAAAAAAGATAATATGGTAAATAAAGAAAAAAAAAGATGGGCAACATAGTTGAACCTGGAGGACATTGTGCTAAGTGAGATAAGCCAGTCACAGAAAGACAAATAACTGCATGAATTCTACTTAATAGGAGGTATCTCATGTCAGATCCACAGAATCAAAGGGTGGAATGGTAGTTTGCCAGGGGTGGGAGTGGGGAGATGGGGGGGTAACTAATCAACGGGCATAAAATTTCAGTTATGACTAAGAGGCTGTAGAGATCTACCGTACAATCTGTGCCCAACACTTAAACGTACTGTGATATAATACATTTAAGAAAAAAAACTTGAAAAAAAAGAAGAGCGGAATCTCTGACAGGACCAAAGTTGACTTCAACTCTTCTTTCTTTTCTGCACTTCTAGGGCCTGGGTTCCAATAAATAATTGCTACCTCATGTCTAAAGAAATTCCTTTTTCTGTGAAAAAGACAAAAAGCATCTTCAACAGTGCAATGCAGGAGATGGAGGTGTACGTGGAGAACATCCGCAGGAAGTTTGGGGTTTTTAATTACTCTCCCTTCAGGACACCCTACACACCCAACAGCCAGTACCAAATGCTGCTCGACCCCAGCAACCCCAGCGCCGGTGCTGCCAAGATAGACAAGCAGGAGAAGGTCAAGCTCAACTTTGACATGACGGCGTCCCCCAAGATCCTGATGAGCAAGCCCATGCTGAGTGGGGGCGCAGGCCGCAGGATCTCCTTGTCCGATGTGCCCCGCTCCCCCATGAGTACAAACTCTTCTGTGCACACGGGCTCCGATGTGGAGCAGGACGCTGATAAGAAGGCCGCCTCGAGCCACCTCAGTGCCAGCGAGGAGTCCGTGGATTTCCTGGACAGGAGCACAGGTCAGCCTGAGGTGGGGCATGGGGAGGAGGCCCCTGGGACCCGGGGCTTCCGTTGGGGTCCAGCGGACCAGCGCCCCTCCGTGCAAGGGATCTCTATGGGGTTTTGCTTCAGTGGAGCATATTTAAAATTTTAAATGGATAACCCAGTGGGATTCTTGCTGTTAGGAATCAAGAAGGGAGAAAAGTGGTCCCCAAAGGCCAGATGGAGGTCATTCCTAGCAGTGGGCAGAGGTGGCCAGTAATCCTTCAGAATCCGGGTCACATTGGCTCTTGGATTATCACAGCAAAACTTCCCGTAACAGTTTGTTTCTCAAGAATGTTATTTTAGGGGGCGCCTGGGTGGCTCAGTCGTTAAGGGTCTGCCTTCGGCTCAGGTCATGATCCCAGGGTCCCGGGCTCGAGCCCCGCATCGGGCTCCCTGCTCCGCGGGAAGCCTGCTTCTCCCTCTCCCACTCCCCCTGCTTGTGTTCCTTCTCTCGCTGTCTCTCTCTCTGTCAAATAAATAAATAAAATCCTTAAAAAAAAAAAAAAAGAATGTTATTTTAATCAGAGGATTGTCTGTCCAAACTCTACCTTCCCGTTATGTAGTGCTCAAATATTAGAGCAGGGCATAAGGTCAGCGATTATGTCCTCTCCCCAGAGCACTCCCATTCCTCAAGAAAGGTCGTAGACACTTGCTGTAGAGGAGTGGTGAAGAATGAGGTTGCTCATCTCACATCCCAGCTCTGCCACTCACTAGCCACATGGCTTTACACAAGACACTTAATGTCTTTTTTAAAACAGATTTTCTCTATTTAATTTAGAGAGAGAGAGAGTGCACACGTGAGTGGGGGTGGAGGAAGAGAGGAAGAGAGAGAACTGTAAGCAGACTCCACGCTGAGCGTGGAGCCTGAGATGGGGCTCAGTCCCACGACCCTGAGATTATGACCTGAGCCAAAATCAAGAGTCGGATGCCCAACCAGTTGAGTCACCTGCGTGCCCCAAGATACTAAGTGTCTTGATGCTTCAGTTCCCTCATCTGTAATGTGACATAGTAATGGACCTGCCTCATAGGTTCTTTTGAGGGGTTAAAGGATGACGTATACAGAAAGCACTCAGAATAAAGTGCTACAAAGATGTGGGCTGCTATATTATTTCTTATGGTGGTTGCTCAGCAAATGCCTACACGGATTCGGAGAGGTGACGTGCATGAGGGATGCTGGCCGAGTGTAAGGAAAGTAACGGTGACTTAAATGGAATTCTTTCTACCCAACTATTATTTGGTTGCATGTCCAGTGCTAAGGAGCTTTATTGCTTCCACAAGGAAATGGGTTTACTCTCATTTTTCTTAAAACATGGCCTTCACTCTTTATCCTCTGTTGGTCTACCTCTGAGAGACATGGGCACAGAGAAGCTTCTACACTAATCATGATGATGAAAGGCAGCCAATTCTCAGGCTCTGGGCTGGGGAGACTGGTCGAGGGGGCAGGACCTGGTGAACCCCTGGACACATGCCTCACCTCAAGGGCTTCAGCCCATGGTTGCCATGTGGGAATGTGGCCTCTTAGTTTTCTGATCTTCTCATTATTCCAGAGAAGTGGGGGATTTGCATTTTTATATAAAACCCCCAAATATTAAATGTCAACTCAAAATGTCTTAGGATGTTTTCCAGAATGAATAAAGCACATCTATAGATTGGACCATCAGTTTTAGGCTTCTGACCAATGTTTTAAGCTTGGACAGCCCTTCAGAACCCCTGCCTTCCCCTTCCTCTTTCTTTATTCCTCCCTCCCTCCCTCCCTCCCTCCCTTTACATAAGAACTCTTTAAGGAGCAGGCACCTGTTCTTCAAGAGACCACCAAAGTCCCCAGAACGTAAAAGGATGGGGACTCTGTTAAATGAGCTCAAGGAATTCCACCCATTTTGGTTGTGTAGTTTCTTGTTCCTGGTTGGTTGGTAATTTTCAAGTACTGCTTGTAGCTGTTCTCAGAATGGCTGTAGGTGGAGAGAGAGTTAAGTACCAGTGGCGTTTGGTTCTTCAAAATAAAGGCTGCAATCTCTTTCCCCAGTTCTGACCCTAACCACGGGGTCCTAGGCACTCAGTTGCATTTCAGAGCTTTGTTCTAGGATGATGCAACTTCTGGTGACATACTTTCAGAACAGAAATTTGCTTTTGCCTCTCAGTTTCAGACCAGAGTTCTTTTTTTTTTTTTTTTTAAGATTTTATTTATTTATTTGACAGAGAGAGCACAAGCAGGGGGGAGTGGCAAGCAGAGGAGAGGGAGAAGCAGGCTCCCCGTAGAGCAGGGGGAGCCCGACATGGGACTCGATCCCAGGACCCTGGGATCATGACCCGAGCTGAAGGCAGTTGCCTTAACCAAGTGAGCCACCTAGGTGCCCCAACACCAGAGTTCTTAAAAGCTCACTTTTTTTTTTTTAAAGATTTTATTTATTTATTTGAGAGAGAGAATGAGAGAGAGAGAGAGAGCGCATGAGAACGGGGAGGGTCAGAAGAAGAAGCAGACTCCCCGCTGAGCAGGGAGCCCGATACGGAACTCGATCCTGGGACTCCAGGATCATGACCCGAGCCGAAGGCAGTCATTTATCCAAAATTAGGTAAACAAACAAACAAAAATGATCGCATTTAAGCCAAGTGAGAAAAACACGTAATCACAGCAACTCCTCAGTCTGTTACCACTCCTAAGAGAGCTTGCTTTTGAGAAAGTGTTCTAACTGGGCAGCAGTGTTGCCCGAATGTTCATCAGTATCAGTTTTGCCGCATGTTAGTACCTCTGTTTTAACTGTATACTTAAATATTAAATCTGCAACAGCACTTTATCCTAAGCTGAATAATACGTATAAACTCATGTGCTTAAATTGCTTGTTGCATTTTTTTCTCTAATGTACATTAAGTTAATACCTAACTTGTAAAATAGAACATGCTGGTCTGTGAACCACTGTTCTGTATCCTGTTCCATATTTCAGGAAATACAGTTTTAGAGGAATCTGAGAGCATGTGTAATGTGTTTAATTAAGCTTCTCTCTTTCCTCAGGACATAGCAAGACTGAACTGACAGGGCGCCTGGGTGGCTCAGTTGGTTAAGCGACTGCCTTCAGCTCAGGTCATGATCCTGGAGTCCCGGGATCGAGTCCCGCATCGGGCTCCCTGCTCAGCAGGCAGTCTGCTTCTCCCTCTGACCCTCTCCCCTCTCATGCTCTCTCTCTATCTCATTCTCTCTCAAATAAATAAATAAAAATCTTTAAAAAAAAAAAAAGACTGAACTGACAGTAGAATTCCTGACAAAACTCCTCATTCGAATGGCTTTTCTAAGCGGTAAATGAGATTCTCCATTTCAGTAGACTTTAAATTCCCTTTTCCAAAATATGATCCTCTTACCAGCTTGTGCTTGGATCATTTTGCTGATTATGAGTTAGACAGCCAGTGAGTGGTATGGGTAGAAAAGGCAGTACTCCAAATCATTTTAATCTTACAGATTGTCCCCTTTTCTGTAAGGAGCCAGATAGTAAATAGTTTAGGCTTTATGCGTCTCTTTCTCAACAGTGCCAGCTATTCAACACTGTCATTGTGTTAATAAAACAGCCAGAGGCTGTGCGTGGTTGTGACACTGAAATTTGACCTTCCTATAATGTGTGTGTTTCATGAACTATGAATCCTTTAGGTTTTTTCCAACCATTTACAAATGGTAAATACCCTTGCAGGCCATATAAGAAGAGGTGTTACGCTAGATTTGGTCCCTGAGTCGGTTTGCCAACTTCTATGACAGACTCAGAAGGAACTGTGAGTCAGTCTCCTCATCTTATAGAAGGCCAGTTGAGGTTCCTGTGGACAGTGTAGGGAGGTGCCTGTGTTCCCAGGGCCAGATCCTGATTCTAGATCCATTTTCTTTTCATTGCACCCTACTGCCCTCTGCTGTTAGCAGTGACGGTAGCATTTAGGAGAAGGAGAAGTAGACTATTGATTGAAATCTCCCACAGTCAGGGAGAGTATAATTGAGATGAGATTGTGATTTATCCAAAATTAGGTAAACAAACAAACAAAAAAGATGGTCATAGGATAGAAAAGCCATATTCGTTTCAGTAATAAGAATTTTGTGGTCAGCAATATAAGACTGCACATTGAAATAAATAAGTTATTAAATAAATCTTGTGTAAGAGTTTAGAAAGCTTCCTTTTGTTTTGGGGGTGGGGGAATCAAGAAACTCAGAATCAGGTGTCCGTAATTCACAGAATTCAATTTCGTTTTCTGAGGAGCAGTTTGCTCAGCCAGAAGCCTTTTGCTCATGGTGTCCTGGTTACTGATCAGAGCGGTTTATATTCTCAGTGATTTTCCTGCTTCCCCCTTGATCTAGACCTCTTGGCCAGAACTGATGCCTTTCCCAATATTTGCTTGCAGGATCCTGACTTAAGTCATGAATATGTATTAGGGTAAGAGTCCGAGCGCCTGGCTGTCCCCACTCTCTGTCTCCACTATGGGTTACTGTTTAGGGAGAAGGAAAAATGTTTTCATATACTCTTGTGAAATCACTACATACTTGTCATACAGTAATCGTTATTTACAAAATGAAAGTCAGAGTTCACCCTACCTCCCAGTCAGCCATTAGATACTGTTTTCAGGACTTCTTCTGTGTTGGCTTATGAGTCATACTATTACGTTGAAAACTCAGATACTTCCAGGGAACAGACAGGTGTGGGAATGAGCAAGGTTGGGAAGTGGTGGGGACTGGGATGAACTCCATGTAGCAGAAGTCACTTTCTTTCTCATGACCAATCACGCGCAGGTGGTTGCTTGTGTATACTTCCTAAAGCATACTCTTCTGATGCATGATGCGCTGGAGCATTTCATTATAAAAAAGCTCCTTAAACCCGGGTGATGAAATCATCACCTGGACCTTTCAAAATGCTGTGCTCTTGAGGTATGCCTTTTCTGTAGGGTCTTGGGGGCCTTTCCTTCCTGCTGGTTCTAGCCAACTGGGAATGTGGGCCCTGTTGCCATTTTTCTC